GCCACATCACCAGCCCATCAACTCCTTTTTAATAGATCCCTATTCTACAAAGAATCTAATAACTAAAAACAAYGACACTAAGCCACAAAAGAAATAACTAAGGATATGTTCTAAATTATTATCAGTATATGAAATAAATCATTAGACTTAAAATATGTGTGTATATAAACYCACAAATATAGAAGCAAATATTTGTTCATGTGAATACATTACATACATACCACATACTAATATTGTCCAATATGTTACCAAAAGCTTGGTCCTTGTCCCTGATACCAATTCAATATTGAGGACACAGTTTTGACAAAAAGGAAAAAAAATTTTGTTTTGCTAGCAAAGACGCTGCACAGGGGACTCCTGTCCCAGAGGCTGTTATTTTGCCCATCAAAGGGAGCACCGGACTTTTAAAGAGGTGATTCCAAGACTGTATTCCACGTGTTCTCGGTTGGAGTTGTGATTCACTTGTTAGCTTAGAAGATAATCGTTTTGAGATCTTCTGGTACCATCCCCACAGTCTGAATTACTTCATTCCTGTAGTGGAAGTGTGCTCAAGGACAGATAATTCTGCCTAGGATGGGGAAGGTAATTCTGTTTCCCCTGAGATTAGGAAAGGGGAGAAATTAGGAAGGAGCAGGAAGAGAGGAAGAGAAAGAAACATATCCATTTTTAAAAATAAGTCACAGTGGCAGAGCAGCAAGGGCTATATTCAGAACATAAAGTGGACCACTGTTACAGATACCCAATTAAAAAATTTTTTCTATGTCTTCTCACCCACTAGAGTAGTTGGGATCACAGGCACTCACCACCATGTCCAGTTTATTTAAAATTCTTTTGTGATTCTAAGATCACTTTGGCCTCAGTATCTTCACTGTTATGCATTCACTGACCTTTTTGTTTTGGTTTTGTTCCAGGGATTGAACCCAAGGGCATTTAACCACTGAGCCACATGCCCAGCCCTTTTTATTTAGTGGTGGTCTATAGGTACTGACTGCTAGACCCCTTCAAAATGACACATTTAAATGAGAGCTGATCCCAGCTTCAAGAAATTCACAATCTAATGATGTTTACTATGAGAAAAGTAAACAACTATAGATAAACCCAAAAAAGTATTATGAGGAGCTGGGGTTGTGGTTCAGTGATAGAGAACTTGCCTAGCACATGTGAGGCACTGGGTTCTGTCCTTAGCACCRCATATAAATAAATAAAGGTATTGTGTACAACTTAAAAAAAAAATTTTAAAAAGTATATGATCTCGTGATTGCAATCCCATTTTTCAGTTTTTATCTTACTTCTGTATTGAAATATATCCCCAGATCATTTTTTAAAGCATTTTACTAATAATTTTTGTTTGTTCTTTTTAGATATATATGATGGCGGAGTGTATTCTGACACATTATAGACACATGGAGTATAACTTATTCTAATTAGACTCCCATTCTTGCAGTTGTACATGATGTGGAGTTTCACTGGTCATGTATTCATATATGAACATAGGAAAGTTATAYCTGATTCATTCCACTGTATTTCTTATTCCCACCCCTCTTCCCTTCCCTTCATTCCCCTTAGTCCAATCCAATGAACTTCTATTCTTCCCTCCCCCTTCCTTATTGTATGTCAGCATCCACATACCAGAGAGAACATCTGGCCTTTAGTTTGGGGGGATTGGCTCATTTCACTTAGTATGACAGCTTCCAGTTCCATTAATTTACAAGCACACACCATAATTTCATTCTTCTTTATGGCTAAGTAATATTCCATTGAGTATATATACCATGTTTTCATGGTTTCACAGCTTAGCTATTGTGAATTAAGCTGCTATAAGCACTGATGTGGCAGCGTCACTATAGTATACTGATTTAAGTCCTTTGGGTATATAGCGAGGAGGGGATAACCGGTTAACATTTTTTTGTTTTGAAACAAGGTCTCACCAAATTGCTTAATTAATCAATCTCTCCATTCTGAATAAGGGGAAGTATAAAACCATGCATGGATTGAGTTCTTTGAATCTGATGATTTTTAAAGAGGAAAGGAGAGAATGTTACAGTTCAGAACTATTGCCCAAAATAGTGGAACTGCCCAGAGAAGAGATTTTGAAAGCTCTATTAAAAATAGCTAAAAATAAGCTGGGCACTGTGGTGCATGCCTGTAATTCTCAGGGGCTCAGCCAGCCTCAGTAACTTAGTGAGTCCCTGTCTCTAAATAAAATACAAAAGGGCTGGGGATGTGGTTCAGCAGCTGAGTGCCCCTAAATTCAACCCTCAGTACCAAACAACAACAACAAAAAAGCTAAAAATAGCGTAATAAACAAAAGGGCTGGGTTTAGTGTCCCATGCCAGTAATCCTAACTACTTGAGGCTGAGACAGAAGGATTCCAAGTTCAAAGCCAGACTTGGCAACTAAGCATGACCCTATCTCAAAACAAAAAAGGGCTGAGGATGTAGCTCAATGATAAAGCACCACTGGGTTCAATAACTAATGCCATAAAAACAAGCAAACTAACAAATATTTGAGACCAGCTTTAGGGCTTGCAGTGCCAAGGGTATGAAAGGGTAAGAAGACAGCAGTCTCAGAAGTGACTAAGAGAGACATTTTGCATATACACAAAAACTTCTGTATTTGAAATGTATCATTTTATTTATTCTGAACACTTTTCTTATAAACTATGTGATGCAAACAGACTTAGGGTTGACCACTGTATTGCAGTTAATGAAGATACGACACAATGGCACAAACATACACAAAAATCTGCTCTAGAATGCATTTTCAAGATAATATAATTCAATTTCCTTAAAAAGCATTTCATGTGGGGCTGGGATTGTGGCTCAGCGGTAGAGCGCTCGCCTAGCACAGGCAGGACCTGGTTTCCATCCTCAGCACCACATAAAAATAAAGGCATTGTGTTGTGTCCATCTACACCTTAAAAATAAATATTATAAATATTAAAAAAAAAAAAAAAAGGATTTCATGAGGCTAAGGTTGTGGTTCAACAATAGAGCACTTGCCKAGCATGTATGAAGCCTTGGGTTCAATCCTCCGCACATAAAAATGAATAAATAAAATAAAGGTATTGTGTCCAATAACAACTAAAAACATAACAAATAATAAAGCATTTCATGTTCAGGTTGCCAGGAATTTTACTGTATTTTCACACTACAAACTGTAATTAAATCTTTATTGACCAAACAAATCACGATTGAAAGTCAATAAAATAAAGCAACTACCACACCTTCAGCAGCATATGTAATTCCCAAGTATTGGCTTCATAATTCAGATATCATCAAAGTTTTCTGGCAGCAGTCATTAATACTGGAATGCACATACATTACAAAATCTTGTTTCTCAATAAAATATAAACACACTGTARAAAATTCATTGGGTTAAAAAAAAGAAAGAAAATTCATTGGGTATACTTTTACCAAAAATATTTCTTAAGGCATACTTTTACAAAGTCGTACTCATGAACTATGAGCACTAACAAATCCTTTTTATCACTTACAATCAGATGTTACAGAAACTATTTTAATGGCTGCCTAATACCCCACTGCATGACAACTTTCTTACAAATTCTTCAACCTTTCCACATTTATATCATCAATAATGMTGAAATTAGCATTCATATGCATTTCACTTTTTCTGTATTTGAAATGAATTAGACTATACCTTGTTTTCTAGTTTTACTTTTAAATCAGAATAGACTACATGTTATGTGGAACTTGATTGTAATTATTGTAAAAGAATGAGAGCTTAAGTAGACTAGAGAGGCTGAGGGGATGTTTTACTCAGCTTTTTCACTGATGTGACTAAAAGATCTGACAAGAAAAATTTTAAGGGTGGGGGTGGGCTCCCAGATTCAGAGATCTCGTCCACAGACAGCTGACTCCCTTGCTCTGGGCTGCAAATGAGGCAGAACATAATGGTGGAAGGGTGTGGAGGAGGAAAAGGAAAGCAGCTCACAACATGAAAACCAGGAAGCAGAGAGACTCTCATTCAACAGAGACAAAATAGATACCCCAAAGGCACCCCCCCCATGAACCCCCTCTAGTCACACCCCACCAGCCTTCAGTTACTACCAATTAAACCTGTCAGGGGATTAATTCACTGATTGGGCTAAGGCTCTCATAACCTAATCATTTCTCCTCTAAACCTTGCATTGTCTCACACATAAGCTTTTGGGGGACACCTCACAAACAAACCATAAAAGGGGGTACAGCTAAGTGGTAGAGGGACTGCTTACCTAGCACGTTMGAGGCCCTGGGTTCTACTCCCCAGCACCGCACACCCCCCCAAAAAAATTTTTAAAAAAGGAAAATTAGCCTAGAGTTGAGGATTCTCAATCTTTCAGAAGCCACAGGCCCCAAACCCGATTTGAAAGTTTACAAGCACAGAGCGGGAAAGTGGCCATCTTCTGCGATTATTCTACTGTCCTAATTATTAAACTGACACTATGATCGCGATCGTCGTTCAAGATTTTGTTGGCGAGTTTCAGGGAATCACCCCAGCAACCCGGAAGAGGAGAGCCTGGCACAAAGAGCAGAAGGGCAAGCACAGGCCGCAGGTTCTTCACAAGGGCTCTCACCAGAGGGGTCTGCGAAACGGGGCAGCGAGAAAAAAAGGTAATTCTCTCCGGCTAAAGAGGGCGCCCTGAGCGAGTCTCCGAGGGTCTCCAAAAAGCCCAGACCGCGGCGCTGCCGCCCCAGAAACGAGATGCCTCGGGGCAGGGAAGACGAAGGGAAAGTTTGGCGGCTCTGGCGTCCAGGGCCGGCGGTCTCCTATCAGCTGGCAGCCCTGCGGTGCTCCCACCCCGGCCGGGGCCCGCCTCCCGCGCCGCGGCCCCTCGCCCGACCTCCGGCCTGACCCCCGCCTCCAAAACCCTTCCCTTTCTCCTCTGCCATCCCGTGGCCGTTCGGAACCGAAGGCCTAATAGCTGGTTGGGACTATTAAGTTCAAGGCGTTCAGCCCAAAAGACAAAGACCCCCTAACGCTGAGGATGCTACACTCACCTGGTCGAATCCAGGCGTGAAAACAGTAGAGACCGACTTCGCAAACGTCGCTCAGCATCCAAAATGGCGGCTCCCTCGGCCTCAGCACAGCAAGCTCGGGCGGAGGGATCCACGGGCCCAGAAAGCCACGCCCCCTCTCCAGGGATTGGCTGCGCGCCGGCCGCTGCCTGGACCCACWCGCCGAGGACTCCCACCCTCGGATCCCTTCGGAGCCGGCGCGGCGGGGACTACTTCCCGCGGCGGAGTCCCTGACCGTGACGTGTCACTCKTGACGCCAACTGAGTCACCTGCTGGGGGGGCGCGCCCTGGGTTTTGCCCTGGGCGCGGTGAGGTAGGCGGTGGCAGGTAGTCCTCCAACTCGGTGCTGGTTATTCTTATCCGGGGTTGTTTCAGCCCCTGGAAAAACCTGCTGAAGAACTCCCGGAGTTCCTCGTTGAGATTTGCTCGCAGCCTTCGCTCGTCTCTCCTTTCGTCCTCAGCGGGTTTCCTCTGCGCCTCGGTTTTTGTCCCCTGGTGAAGGGGCGGGCGGGTTTCGACCCGGGTCTGAAAGATCCCTCTCTCCATCTCTCGGTTATCCGTCTGCGGACGCTAGTTCTTTTACCATTTTTAAAAATAATTTTTTTATTTGTAGATAGACACAATACCTTTATTTATTTTTGTGGGGTGCTGAGGTTGAACCCAGGGCCTCACACGTGCTAGGCAAGCGCTCTGCCACTGAGCCCCTGCCCCTCTTCTCCCATATTTAAGCCAAATCTGATCAACCAGCCTCTTTCTGGTCTCCGTCTTGACTAATGCTTCCTCAGCACCATGTTCTCTTATTTTTCTCTGTATTCAGAGGAACCGTTTTCGTTTGGTTTTGTTTTTAACTTGAAAAATATTTCTCAGCTTAGTGTTAGAAGGGAATTCCCGGGCTCAGAATTTCCAGGTGGGAATCCTGCCCCCTGCTGTAAGGCGCTGCATCTATGGAGACCAAAATTGTGCTTAATTGTCCTGGGGCGGTCATAGGACAAGTACTGAGCTAKGCGTTACCTTAAGAAGTTTACTTGAATTTAGAAATTTTGTATTTATAACCATTTAGAAATATAAACGGGTCCCGGGACTTCAAAATACACAGTATTTGGTTCCTTTAAAGAACCTAGAAACAGCAACCAAATGTAATTTGTGGACCTTGTTTCTCTACAGCTTCAAACAAATCAGTTATAAAAGATGTTTTTGAGACAGGGAAATTAGCTACTAGGTGACSCCAAATAACCTAAGAATTGTTATTTTGTAAGAAAATTACCTTTTTAAATTTTGAAATGTATATGTAGGGGCAAAATTATAGTAAAACTGATGATAATTGACCCACTTAGGGATGCAGCTCAATAGTACAGCATTTGCCTACCATGAAGGATGCCCTGTGTTCAATCCCCAGTACCAAAAATAAGTAAACAAATTTTAAAAAATTAAAGTAATGCATAAATTTGGCATGGCAAACCACATACACACCTGAAAAAGATATACAGTGAACATAAGCCTTTGGCCTGGCATGTCTATAATTCCAATGGCTCCAGAGGCCGAGGCAAGTTCAAAGCTAGCCTCAGCAATTAGAGAGACCCTGCCTCAGGAAAAAAAAAAAAAGTGCTGGAGGTGTGGCTCAGTGGCACAACCCTGTGTTTAATCCCTGGTATCAAAAAAATAAGTCTTTGTCCTCTGACCATTAGTCTTACAGTCTCCCTTTCTAGAAGTGGAGTAACTACTATTGCTGGTTTCTTGCACCTCTATGCCTTGGTTCCTCATCTGTAAGATGATAATAATATCACTTACCTTGATAAAGCTGTGAGTATTTTAATTTATGAAAAGCTCTTAGAACAATGTCCAACAGATAATGCTGAACGCTATCACTATCTTCATTGTGTGGGGTGGTGCTGGGAATTGAACCTAGGGCCTTGTGCATGTGAGGCAAGTACTCTACCAACTGAGCTATATCCTTAGCACTGAATACTATTAATATCTTTCCAATGATATTCTCAGCATATACAACCATCTGTTTACTTTTTTTTTTTTTTTTTTTGCCTTTTTCTGGTCTTAGGGATTGAACCCAGGGTTACTTTACCACTGAGCCACATCCCCCAGCCCTTTTTATTTATTTTTTGAGACAGAGTATCAGTAAGTTACTGAGGCTGACTTCTAATTTGGTAATCCTCCTGCCTCAGCTTCCAAGTTGCTGGGATTACAGGTGTGCGCCACCATAGCTTTTTTTTTTTTTTTTTTTTGTACCAGGGATTTAACTGAGGGGCACTAAGCCACATCCCCAGCCCTATTTTGTATTTTATTTAGAGACAGGATATCACTGAACTGCTTATTGCCTTGTTTTTGCTGAGCTGGCTTTAAATTCAAGATCCTCCTGTCTCAACCTCCCAAACCACTGGGATTACAGGCATGCACCACTGCTCCTGCCCCCACCCCTTTTTTAGACACTTATAGTATCATACTATACATACTATAATTTGCTTGGGTCTGTGRGTATGGCTGGGGGTGTAGATCAGTGTTAAAGTGCTTGCTTGGGTTCAATCCCTAACACGACCACAAAAAAAATTATACATATATTATATTATATATATAATATAATATTTATAATAATATAATATAGTATATAATATTATATATTTATATATAATTATATATAGGAAGAGGTGGGTGGGTGGGTAGAGATAGATAATCTTGTCCTACATCAATAGTTATCAGTAATTCTCATTCTTCTAAAGGACTACAGAATAATCCATGGTATACTGTGCCATATATTTTAGGTGGAGCTCTAGTGATAGGTATTTAGATTGTTTCCAATATTTTGCCTCTCTGAACAATGCTGTTGTGGATAGATATTTGCCAGCATTAATTGTACTTTTTGAGTAAAATTCCCAGAAACAGAACTGGGTCAAAGGTAGGTACATTTTTCATTTTAATAGATAGTCTATTTAGCTTTCAAAAAAAAAAAGAAGTATCAGTTTACCACTAACACTAAAATATGAGAGTTTCTATTTCCCCATACCCTCAGTAGTAGAATGTACTAAGATAACTTTTGGGATTCTTGACATAGAAACATTGTTCAAACAATGAAAGTAAAGAGGAGCTTAAATGTCATTAAGCCCCAGTTTAGTGACATGATTCATTTAGAACAATTGCTTCCTACTCAGCAATTGTTTGGATTCAACAATCATCCCCTGTGACCTGGGTTTTAGCAAAATCCACCTAATTATTCAGATACTGTAATATATCAACTATAAATTATACTCCAACCAGCCAGTGTTAGTCAAACACTTTCTGGGAGTGTGGGGCAAGGAAAATATCTTTGTACCTGGCTGAACAAACCAGTTTTATTCAAAAGCTACAAATGACTCACATTGTTTCACCTGAAAATCCTATTCTGTTGTTAGGACAAATATTTATACATAATATCTTTAGTTAATTGATCATGTATTCTTTTTATGTAAATCACTATAACTAGTGGCTATAACTAAAATCTGGTATAACATTTGAACCCCATAGCATAAGAGTCTCCCAGTGATAGGCCTGTAGGCCAAAATCAATCAGGTCTCTTTTTTTTTTTTTTAGTATTTATTTTTTAGTTGCAGGTGGACTCAATATCTTTATTTCATTTTTAGGTGGTGTTGAGGGTCAGGCCTGTTTTTATACAGCTAAGAATGGCTTTTACATTTACTAAAGGGTTAGGAAAAAGAGGTATGGTGAGGACCACATGACAGTGACCTATGTTGCCCACAATATTTACTATCTGACCCTTTACAGAAAAGGTAAATAAAAAGTGCTACCCATTGTATAAAAAAGGGAAGAATGATGGCCATAGAGCTGTGCTTGCTTTAACTACTAATCTTTAGAAAGGGGAAAGTCTCAGCTCTTAGACTAAAGAAGTTAACATGGAGGGCTGGGGATGTGGCTCAAACGGTAGCGCGATCGCCTGGCATGCGTGCGGCCCGGGTTCGATCCTCAGCACCACATACAAACAAAGATGTTGTGTCCGCCGATAACTAAAAATAATAAATATTAAAAAAAAAAAAAAGAAGTTAACATGGACTAGGAACCACTCTGGATGTCTTCCTAGAGCCTAGGAGAAAAATCAAGATCACTTTTAGAGCACCTCAGGAACAATTCTTCAGAGAACATCAATATTACTAATTATGGCTGAATACAAATGGTAAACATTTCTGTGACAATTTTCAGTTCACAAAAGCACTTACCTCAATTTGAGGCTCATGACATGTCTATGAAGCATCAGTAGTCAGAAATCTTTTTTATTGTTTTAGGTTTTTCCCCCCATCTGGGGATTGAACCCAGGGCCTCCCTTATACTAGGCAGTGCTCTACCCCTGAGCTACACCCCCACCCCATACCTAGCCCTTTTATTTTTATTATGTTTGTTGTTTCATTTTGTCTTTTTTCCATATTTTATTGGTGCATTATAATTATACATAATAGTGGTAACTTGTTGTTAAATATTTGTAAGTGCACATAATTTCCCCCTTTCTCTCTGTTGCTCCCTCCCCCTGGCCCCTTTTCTTTACTCTATCCAGCCCATTTTTAATTAAAAAAAAAAAAAAAAAAGTAGCTGGGCATGGTGGTGCACACCTGTAATCCCAGCGGCTTGGGAGGTTGAGGCAGGAGGATGGGAAGTTCAGAGCCAGCCTCTGTAATTTAGTGAAGCTTTAAGCAACTGAGCAAGACCTTGTCTCAAAATAAAAAATAAAAGGGCTGGGGATGTGGCTTAGTGGTTAAGCACCCCTAGGTTCAATCCCTGGTACAAAAAAAAAAAAAAAAAAAAAAAGTTGTTTTTTTTTTGTTGTTGTTGTTTTGTTTTGAGACAAGATTTTTACTAAGTTGCTCAGGCTGGCCTTGAACTTGTGGTCATCTTGCCTCAACTTCCCAAGTAGCTGGCATATGCCACCACACTTGGATTCTTTATCAGTTTATAGAGGAGAAAAGTGAATCTAAGATCCATGAATAACCAATCTAAGACCAATAGCAATAATCATTGAGATTAGATTTTAATTTAAAAAATTATTTGTTCTTTTTAGATATACATGACAATAGAGTA